ATATTAGATAAGTCTCTTATTTGATATAGTACACAGTGTACAGTGCAGTATTAATAACTAGAGATGACGTTTTGAGCATGATTTATTGCTCATTATCATAGCAGTTTAATTTCATTGACTTCATGACTTACTACATATAGCGCCTTACTCTCTCAGTTGTTTCCTACTGTGACTTGTCGGATATACTGGGTGTAGGTGTTGTAGAGCATTTCGATTGTATGTGTTTTGTGTTGATTCCACCAACAATATTTCAGTGATCAACCCTTGTCTCCACCTTTTTAGCGCTTCTACCCATCCCATCCTATGCTTTGATTAAATACAACTGTGTACATAATAATTGGGAGGAGGGCTTTTCCTCAGTTATTCGACTTAGAGGAGGGGTCAATCACACTGTGTTGATGTAGACAAATTCTTAAATTTCGATGGTTTGACTGACTGAGACCACCTACTCTGAAATGCGTCACTTACGTTACATTCACTGCATGATATTTGGTAAATTATGTTATTTTTCATAGTAGGATTTATCGGTTCCTGAGGTTGACAAAGTCTATTTTTGGTTAAGTTGATTGGTCTAAATGCTACCCTAATTCCAGCCCTATTCAGAATATTACGTAGGGCCTATGATGTTTTATCCCATAGGTGTCAGTGCTATCCACATTTTGAACCCCCTGTTATTTGATTGGAGATGCTTATTAAAAATTTATAAGACTCACTGATGAAGAATAAATATTCAGACTTTAGATAAATTCGCCACCAGGGTCTACATTTATATAACAGTAATAATCAAAGAGGAGATTCATCGTGCTGAAGTTTCTGTAGCAACTTTGTTTACAGGGTGGGGTTGCTAGCCTCACGCCTCACGAGGATATCAAAGCAAGAATCGGAAAAGCAAGACAAGCTTTCACTACTTTCAAGTCTGTGTGGAGGTCAACAACACTCAGCACCAAAAATAAGATCCGGATTTTCAACTCCAATGTCAAGTCAGTGCTACTTACTATACGGATCAGAGACTTGGCCAGTGCGTCATAAAGAGCATCTCAAACAAACTACAGACCTTCATCAACAGCTGTCTTCCCTCAATACTTTAGATCAGATGGCCAGAAAAGATCAGCAACAGAGAGGGATCTCTGGGAGCGAACCAACCAGGAACCGATTGTGAAACAAATAGGCAGGAAGAAATGGAGATGTATTGGCCATACTCTGAGGAAACCACCAAGTTACATCACTAGACAAGCCATTGCTCGAGTGGAACCCGAAAGGGAAGCGGCGAGTTGGTCGTCAGTGCAAGGGTGACTTGGAGGAGGTCATGTGAAGAGGAGATGAAAACCTGTGGGCAGACTTGGAGTCAGGTGAAGACTCTAGCAGAGAACCGAACGCAATGGAGACGCAAAGCTGAAGCCCTATATTCCTCTAGGAATTAAAGGAAACAATAATAATTAAAGAGATATTCTTATTAACAACTTTAATGCTGTTTTTAATTACATTCAATCAATAGTTAGTGTCAGTAAAACAGAAATAATATGCATTAATAAGTATCACACTAAACTGATTGAATATCAGATAGATTAAGGGAAGTAACACATAATTAATTTATGGATTTACAGGTTCAGCACGAGGCCAGGGTAGAAGCAGTGGCTGGATGCACCTGTTTCTGTTTTTGCATCCAGAACTCTAGTTAATCTAAGCGGATTGTGCAGTGTTCGGCATTTAGAGGACACTGGTAATTTATCTGATACCTGACAGATGATGACAGAGAAAGACTGTTTAATTCTGTTAGCTTTCTGGGATGTTCGGACAAGATGATTTGAATTCAGAGCTGTTAACGGTTTCAGCAACACCTGCACTTAACCACACTGGTAGGTGTTCCAGAGCATGAAAAATTGTGTTCCTAGAGAAAACAACCGTCAATATAACCAGCTCCACAGGTGCCACTGAATTGTTAGACACAATCAGAGGTTAACTAGACTGGGTCACCTACAGCTGTGGTTCAATAAAAGTTTTTTTTTAAATCATCAGGAGTTCCGTATTGAATAACCCTCATTCAAACAGGCTAAAAATATTGCTAATAACAATATCTCCTGAATTATTATCGTCATATGAATATAGAACCTGATAAAGAAGAGGTTATCGAAGAGAGGAAATCGTTCACACTAGTCTGTCTTTACAAGTTTGAATTGTTGTAAGTAATTATGCCAGTAATAACAGAGATTATATTAACAGTGATAATAATGCCTATAAATAACACGAATGATAAGAAAAGTACAAATGATTGAGGCAGGTGGCAATAAGATCAATAAATAAATCAATAAATAAAATTGAAATAATCCGACAAAACTACAATTTGCATAATACTAAAGATGAATTGTTTAAAAATAATCTAAATTTAAATAAATACGACAAATGTATGACATGGGGTGAAGTTTCATTTTGGTTTACTAGATTGACCTAGTTCAAAGCGAGAGACAAATTCAAAACAAACTTCATTTTGAATGCAAAGACTAGGTGAACTCTTCAGAATCACCATAGTTTCGAGTAGGTGTAAGCCGAAATGAGTTCAAATTTAGTTTGAAAAGTTCAACAGAATGAGAATGATATGAATTCTAATTAATCAAATTAGACAAAATCGAGCTGCAAATTCAAATTTTTGTTTAACCTTTTCAGAATCATAATGAAAGGTGTTCAGTAAAGTGTCTGTTAAACTGCCTGATTATTCGCTGTAATATAGCCTTCTATATAGGAGAAATTAAGTTCTTAAGTTTGCACAGAAATAGCACATGAGTGATTACTTTATGAAAATGATGCAATTCAAGAGATAAAGGAATTTGAATGGATTTCAAAAAAATACAAAAAGGCAGGCCGAGTTAAGTGTCTAACACACCGAACAGTAGCACTAAGTAGCACAAGAAAAGACCTAAATGACGAAATAAAACAGATAGAGGAAGCATTAGTGTTGAATAACTATTCTATAAAATTCATTAGGAAGATCAAAAAAGGTCAAAAGCAAATTAAAAATAATTGTGGAACTAGTAATCATAACATAAATAAGAGAGAATATAAGTCATCCACTGTTATACCATATAAGGAGGGGACATCTGAGACCCTACGTGGAATTCTTAATAAAGCAGGAATTAGGGTGGCATTCATACCTACAAACTCACTCAGGGACAAGGTCTGTAAGTTAAAGGACCCCGTTTACCCAATTAAACAAAATAATATAATCTACAAAATGCCTTGCAATGACTGTGAGTTAAGTCAACTACATAGGTAAAAGTAGTAGGTCGGGGGTAGTCAGATTGTCAGAACATAAGAATTTAGCTAAGGTAAGAATGGTTGACTCCGAGAAGAAAAAAGCTCGGCACTGCATGCACTAACACAAAACCACATAAAAGGGTGGGAGAAGGTTAAAATTCTAAAAAGTTATCTATGTAGGTGGAGAGAGAGATTGATTACTGAATTCTGCCTGGTTTATCGAGTCTACACACCCAACACAAGCAACAGAAATGACTCAAAGCAAATGCCAGAAATATGGAAGATATTATTACCACCAGTCAAATCAGAAGAGGATAATAAATAATCTCAAAATTCTATTTCAATTCAAACACATCACAACATTCTAACAAGTAACTTATTATGACTATAAAAACACTCGTCTTATTTCCCAACTGATTGTATTCGACTGATAACACTCATGTTATTATTTCTGAACGTACATTATCCCATATTGATTTTTATTCAAATATCTAGTTAGTTCCACACATGTATATAAATGAAGGAAAAAAGTTGTGTGAGTAACTTGATATGGTTACGAGCAGCAATAGTTTGTGCTCGAAACGTCATCAGTTAATATTACTGTATAATAATGTGTGATTTATCAAAATAAAATCTTATCCAATATGGAGTTATGCTCTACCACAGTGCCCAAGTTTTATACTTATATCAAAAATACAAAAAGAAACAGGAGTCAAAACTTAAGGTGATCATAGATTCCGATACTATTGCTTACCCCATATCTTTATCAACTTCATTCAGCAACTGGCTATATAACAACGCCACGTGTCAAGTAATCCATAAAGGGAAACTCATACAGGGCTTTCATTTGAATATAGGAGTAAGACAAGGCTGCCTACCATTACCCAAGATGATATTCCTAATTGTGGTAAACTGGATTATGCTTCAGACTGTGGTGCCTGGGAAGACAGGAATACGTTGGACCGATAAGAAGACTCTAGAAGAGCTGAACTTTGCAGATGATTTGTGTATAAAATATCTCATTAGTTCGAAGACATACAGGTGAAGGCCAAACAGGTAGCAGAAGAAGCATGCGGCGAAGATAGGACGACAAGTGAATACAAAGAAGACAAACGTGATGAAGATTACCAACCAACAACAACCAACACAAACACCAATCACTATCAACGGAATAAATTTCAAAAGAGGTCACTTCCTTCATTTATCTACGAAGAATCATTTCAACCACAAGCTGTCGGCACGAGTGAGGATGTCAAAGATAGCCAGAATCAGAAAGGCAACACAAACCTTCATCCCTGTGAAATCAGTTTGGAAATCTTCTGAACTCCTCAACAGAAAGAACAAAGTGTGTGATTTTCAACACCCTTGTTAAGTCAGTCATGTCAACAGAAGCATTTCTATCAATAACTACTGCTTTCGGTAGCGCCATACTGAAGACCGTTTGGTCAGTGAGAAAAAATTATCTACAAGAAACTCTGAGAACGAACCAATCAATCAAGAAAAAGCAGATGGATCAGACACATACTGAAGAGAATGAAAAAACAACAAGTCGGCCATTGGTCTAAAATGTGACATGGAGGAAATGACAGCTTATTATGGGCAACCGCATAGGCAGACGGCAGCTAAATAGGAACATAGTGAACAGGACAAAAGTGGAGATTTGCTGATGAAGGTGTGTATGGCCCACTCATAACCCAAGGGAATAATAATAATAATAACAAATAAGGAAAAAGAAATCAACAAAGACTTACCTTTTACGTGGTTTTTTGATTTGCATTTCCATTGAACAGATAGACTATTGAACTGTTTTACAATTGACAATGATAATATTAACGATAGGAAATAAGGACTAATGTAATCTAGTGTTGATTAGACTGACAATGGATAACACAGATGCTTGTTTCACGTCTTATTTTTCCATATATTTTGATTGAATTTCTGTCAACTGGTCAATTAGTTAGTTAGTTAGGTGAGTTGTGTTTTGTCAAACATGAATAGCCAATGTGTTTATTTATGTATATATACCTTGATTAGAGAGAGATATGCGCTAATTCACTCGATTCAATTTGATATGGTCTGATCTGATCTGATCTGATTTGATATAATTTTATCATCCAAGATGAATATTTTCTATCACTGTTTCACTCGGTTTACATGTGTGTGCATGTGTGTGTTGGGGTGGGTGTGGGTAGTTGGGTGGGTGTGCCTTTGTCTTTTTTTGTTAATCATTGTGTTAATCATATACGCATACAACTAATTCATTATGATTAGGGTTAGTAGCATCATTAGAAAAATCATATTTTTCTTAGTTTTCTAAAAAAAAATCAAGAAAGACAAATAAACGAATAAATAAATAAATAAGTCGTTTTGTTTTACACGAAAACATGTAAATACAGATTTGTGAAACATCAACAACAAGTGACAGATAGTAGTAGGTAGTCGTACTCCCCCCTCCCCCCTACTATTACTAACACTACATGTGAATAACGCTCAGTGGTAGACAACCAGTGTGTGTATGAAGAAACCAAGAGATTAATATATGCAGCAGCAGCAACAACAACAACAAAAACACCAAAAAGTAGAAATATGATCCATGGTAATTAGAAAGAAGAAGTATTAGTATTGTATTTATTTAGTGATGCTACCGTTCATGTTGTATATATATATATATATATATATATATATATATGCTCATACCATTCAGAGTAAGCGAATTCGAGTGCGAGAGAACCACGCACAACTCATTTTTGGAAAGAGTATCAGCTATAAAAAGACACACGAATGTCAGCGATAATCTCTTTTTTTCTCATTTTTCGTGATTCTTTGTCTTTTCATATAAGAGGTATTAGTAGAATAGTAGATAGAATAAAGAAGGAATTAGAAGTGTTATTAAAAAGATAGGTAATGGAATCGTCAAGAGATTATTATTTCATGAAGGTGTAGATGAAGTAATCTGAGTGATAATTTAGGGTGTTAACTGGGATAATATAAAATGGGTACAGTGGGTAGTAGGGATGGTGGTGCGGGTGGTGGTGGTGGTGAAGTAAACAAAAGCGTGGACACTATCTGGCTTCGTTGAACGTCTTTTCCGTATTCACTAGTGTCTCCTTTCTATTCAATTTCATCATAGATGTACTGATGGACTTAACTCTAGCTGACTTCAGAGATTCAGGGATTGACTTGTTACTAGGGAATGATCTCGTTGACTTAGAATATGCAGATGAAATTGTCCTGTCTCCTAGGTGAAGACGCTGACAAAATGCAGAGTCTTCTGAATATCTTGTGCTGAGCTGAAATCTTCGAATGTTTGGCATGCCATTCGCTCCCGCCAAATGTAAGATGATGCTTCAGGACAGGACTACACTGACTCCTAGTTTAGAAATAGGGAGTGAATTGGTACAGCGTGTTGGCCAATCATTCGGTGCCAGCGGGTTGATAGCTGAGGAAATCAGAAGGCTCGTTTCGTATATGCCAGTTTACGCCGTCTCTGGCGTAGAAGTGATACCCGCTTGGATTTCGACCAAAGGGCTTGTGTACTGCTCAGCAGTCCGCTCTGTTCTCCTTTATGGCTTTGAGACCTCGCTATTGAGAGTGGAAGATATGAAAAGACTAGCTGTCTTTGATCATAGGTGCCTGCGTTCTTTCTCCCGTGTGAAATGGTGCAGTAGGATGAGCAATATTTATTTTAGGCATCGGTCGAGTGAGTGCTAGGTGGTAGGTGGGAGGGATGTTCAAAGGAAAAGTTACTCTTTCCAGCGATATAGTTCTCTAGCTGTCCAATAGCATGTATATACAGTAAATTTTATTAGCAACGAAGGGAATATTTTCAAAAATGTGTCATTAGAACTGTAAACCTTTTTAGATAACAAATTACGTAATATAATAAACGTCAATCGGATAGAAATTAAAACTAAGTAAACTGAGTGACGTAATATAATTGACGAAATTGAGTGGAATTCAACTAAAATTGAATGAGAGTTTAGTTAACAAGAGAGGTGATCAAGAGGTGAAGGAAGAAAATAAAGTAGTTAAACACATAAAAATTATGTATCGCGGGTTAAGACAGATCAGGTCTACAGTTGACCTAGTGACTGAACAAACTCGTTCTTCTGTATGCAGAGTTCAGGATTCAAAGTGTGAATTTTCATTTCTATTTTTAAATTCATGGGAAATTCCTTCACCGGATATAGTTTCTTAAAAACCATATATATACGATTGTACAACTTGATAATGAATACTACAAAAAGAGTCTCTTCTCTGAATCATCTGTTTTGATTTTCTAATTGTCATTGCTTCTGCTGTATGAAGGAGTCTGATTCGTAATCTTTTAGCGAGGTTCCCACGCATTCTGTAGATTACTTTGAAGTTAGTTTGCGAGTAAGCCTGGTATCTGAATTTAATCAGGTGTTCCAGAATAGATCTGTGGACATGAAGCATCTTCTTCTCCTTTATAAAACCACGAGGTTGAGTTTTTGATGGCACATTTGGACGTCAAACGCTAGGTAGGGCGGACAAAGCTAGCCCCACACAAGTAAATGAATTGATAGAGAAACTCTGATGAGACCAGCAGTGGTAGCTTATCCATCACTTTCATAAGAATCACTAGTTTTGTAGAGGAAGTTAGCCGAAGATCGGCTACGAAGAAGGTTTTCTTCAATGAGCTGGGAGGCGGACTCTCAGTATTTGAGATAATGAATCTCTACTGAGTTGCAGATTCAAGTAGAGAAGTCTTTTAAGAGCAGAAAGTGTTGGCGACTTCAGTGGTTTAGACTTCATGAATTTTGTGATGAAATGTTCCGCTTAGTCATTTTTAAAGAGGATTCTTTTCAGAGTATTCAGATCCTCTTCCATAGTGTCAGGCATACAAATGATGCAGATTCAGTGGTTCAATGAACGAATCAGGTTTCGTTTTCTAAATGCATGTTTGTCGACTCAAATAATCGGAATGTTAGTATATCGACTAAGTATATCAAAAAACTGATCCTAAGATGCACGATGAGTGTTCAGTTTTTATTCGTTGGTCTGTTGACAATCAGTTCTCCACTCAGTCCATTACTCGCCTATTGCTTCATGGTGTATCTTGAGTCAAATGTCCGCTTACCAGCAATCAAAACGGTTCGAAGCCTACAATTGGTGAATAGATGATAAATTTATCCTCATCGATGAAATTACTGACCTAAACAAAATCCTGGAAATCTTCAACAACAATACTCATCAGTTAGTCGAATTCAAAAGTGGAACGGAATCAGAAGGTAAATTATGCATCCTAGATGTTCAGCTTACAAGAAGATCAGATAGAAGCCTACATGGATCAATCCAGCACAAGGTGAAATTCATTGGACAGCTAACAAACATTCACACTTTCGTCCTTATAAACAGAAAAAGAAAGCTGATCTATATTGTGACGAGAATCTACCATATACGCACTGAAGACACCCTGGATAAGGAATTAGAATCCTTCACAAAAACTCCAATCCAAAAATGGATAACCAACCTCTATCATCAATAGAAATCTAATTGTAAATCTGAAATTCAAAGCAGATGCAATTAGAGAGGCTGCACCTCTGCTCCTCAACTTTTCCACACATGCTCTTATTCACTAAAAAATCAAAGGAAAGATCACAGTGTAGGAAACTTCAGCGTGCATTTACCAATTCACCTGCTCCTGTAGAGCAATGTACATAGGCCGCACCAGCAAAACATTGTCTAGATGTGTCCATGAAAAATTACCAGCATGGTTTTGAAAAGGAGAACGTAGAATAGTCAATAGCTAAATTTCGGAACATACTATTACCTCTGGACTTACAGCATAAGTAGAGACTTGTTTCAGGGTCATATATATAAAGTACAGCCAATCCGCTCGAGAGGAATTCGCCAAAATTTTCCTTATATAGCTGAAGTCTCAGCTATCTATTAGGAGAAATCTGAATATTGTGTTCAGAAACGTTTGATCCAGCCTCTTTTAATACCATGGCCCTAGTACTAATATATACTTCTTCCTTCTTTGTCTTCCTGAATAACTAACTGTGTAATAAGCTCTATGTAGTTTTATGATTCTGTGTTGTTGCAACCCTTTTTCAATCTTTTTATTCTCTTGTTTCTTGTGAACTATTCGCAAACGATTATTATTCATCACTCAACTGATTAGTTGTCAACCCACTCGATTACGTAAGATTAGCCTCAATTTTTCAAACATGTTTATTACTCATACACTTTTCCACCAAGTGATAATAACCTTTGACCTCTGTTGTCAACCTACAACTTCCTAAATAACTGCCCAGCTTTGAAATGAAGTTACAAAAAGAACGGATCTCTTTGCTGACTCATGTGATCTTAATAATATAAACTATGGCACAACTATGCTTCTTGTTGTTTTTCGCTAACCGAAGAGCTTACCATATTATATATATGTAGCTGAAAATTAAGAGTACTGCAAAGCCATGTAGTTGTGTCAACAGTCTTTCTGAAGAAAATTTTACCCATACTTAATTTATCAAAAATACATGTAGACAGATCTGGTTATTGACAAAGTTGTTTCTAGAGTCAAAAATATCCTGGCTTCAAAATGGATACCCGACACGATTCGTGGAGAAGAACATGAATATTAAAGCCAAAAAGAGAAGAGTGTAGTTTAGTATCAGAGAAAATACTGCATATGAATCTGGACTTCATGGGGAGACTTAGAGGCAGATATCCTAAAGAGGAGAATCTCTAGTTCCCTAAAGAAGGCAACGCTAGCCACCCATTGCTTCTAAGCAATGTGAACTACTCCAATGTGCATATCTCAGTTCACCTGCTCGTGAGGAGCTAGGTACATAGGTCATTCTATGCACATCCTTTCAAAATGTGTTAGGGGACATTACCCATCATGGTTGCAAAGAGGAGACACTAGTTCAAAAGCGTCATAATTGAACACCTTGTCAACATCTGTCACAATATCTCAAGTGACTCGTCACTCAGAGTCATTTAAAAAAAGCAAACAAAAGTCTACCGAAGGTGGTACGTTTCCAACTTCTTTGTGGAGCAGAAACCCTAACCATATACATCGGAAATTCTGAGTTATGTGTTCAAAACAAACCGGTCCAACCTCTAAATTTACCTTGGATCTAATTCAATCAGACTCCTTACTAACCGATTTTTGTTTTTTTATTCCCTTCATTATCTTCACTTTCAGTTACAAAAAAATTATTATCTCAATTTTTCTATGCTTATCCCGTTCACTGTGTTATACATAACGGAACTATTTTCTAATCTTGTGTAATTTTGTATCTAAGGTCCTTGTAATCTATATTCACACCTCTAAACTTTCATAT